GGGGGGGGGGGGGGGCTGGTGAAATGGATCTAGACATTTGGTCAGGTTTTTTGACGAGGACAAAGAACTGATAAGAGCTTGATGTGTAGGATGAGGGGCTAATGACTCATTACAGAAGACCATGTTACAGAACGTAAACAGGATGAAAATTAATGGACCGGATCAATACACAATGATCAAACGAGTTAACAGGAATTGCGATAATAGATGATTGTGATACTTACGACAACGTGCCTTGACTGTGAGGCCCGAATAGGCTCATGGCACACGTCCCGACCGACCACGAGCTCGCCGAGTAACTTTCTAAAGATGTTCACATGATTTTGCGTAGCGATGGGTTACTGACGAAGACGGCCAACGCACGCCTAACACCACGTGGAATGTGAAAATAATGGAAAACTAAATACAGGGTGTCCCAAAAGTCCCTTCCACCCCCTCTAAAATTTTACCTAATTAATATTTTGAAACGAAACTTTGGGGATGTTCATCGATCAATGTTAGCTACTTGTGGGGCCCCCCAAAATTTTCGGGCCCCCCCGTGGGGAGGGGCTGCGGGCCCCAACTTTTATTTTTCAAATAGCAACCCCTATCTTGTGATACCTCATTCGAAAGAGCATAAAAAACAAAGAATTTTGGCGCAAATCGCAGATCAATATCTTAATTTTTGACCGAGTTATGATAGGTCAAAGGTCAAATTTGACCTATTTTCAAAAAATCATAACTCCGGTTCAAATTATCGTAATGAAAAAAATAAAACGGGAAAATTTACCACATTGTAGGCACTTTTAAGGAAAAATCACAGAAATTACTTCAAACTAATTTTAAGGGGGGTTTCGGACCCCCAAATACGTCAATTCAAATGTCATTCAATTTTCCCGCGAAATAAGCCAATTTCCCCCAGATTTGCCTCCACATTAGTTCAGTAAGGTCAAAATCAGTTCAACATTACGTTGGCAAGTCCCCAAATTTCGGGAAAAGTTAAAAAAAAATTTAAACGGTCAAATTTAATCACCTTTAATTTCGTTTTTTTTTTAAACTTATCCCGAAATTTGGGGAGTTGCCAACGTAATGTTGAACTGATTTTGACCTTACTGAACTAATGTGGAGGCAAATCTGGGGGAAATTGGCTTATTTCGCGGGAAAATTGAATGACATTTGAATTGACGTATTTGGGGGTCCGAAACCCCCCTTAAAATTAGTTTGAAGTAATTTCTGTGATTTTTCCTTAAAAGTGCCTACAATGTGGTAAATTTTCCCGTTTTATTTTTTTCATTACGATAATTTGAACCGGAGTTATAATTTTTTGAAAATAGGTCAAATTTGACCTTTGACCTATCATAACTCGGTCAAAAATTAAGATATTGATCTACGGGTTGCGCCAAAATTCTTAGTTTTTTATGCTCTTTCGAATGAGGTATCACAAGATAGGGGTTGCCATTTAAAAAATAAAAGTTGGGGTCCGCAGCCCCTCCCCACGGGGGGGCCCGAAAATTTTGGGGGGCCCCCACAAGTAGCTAACATTGATCGATGAACATCCCCAAAGTTTCGTTTCAAAATATTAATTACGTAAAATTTTAGAGGGGGTGGAAGGGACTTTTGGGACACCCTGTATAAATACAACTGCAGCTAAAAGGAAGAAAGGACTTCGCCATGTTGGAGACCGGACGATAGATACATTGGAGGTTGCCTTGCCCGACAACCCCGGGCGAGTGGGTCACAGTGCTGCCTCAGGTGGCTAGATCTAGAACTATAGGAGGGGCACCAACAAGAGATATTCAATCCCTTGAACATTTGAAATCGTAAAATTATTATCACATTTACATAGCACTCGCTACATTCCGTTGTCACTTATGAACTTATGTTACTTGGTTAAATCAAAAAATATATTATTAATAGTGGTGTTCCTAAAAAATCTACTGAATGAATTTAATAGATACATTGCAGCATTAATCTCCTGAAAAGTTAATAATAAAAATAGCCAGTCAGCTAAGTATCAGAAACTACATTTTTGTTTTCCTTTTATTCATCCCAGTCCTCAAGGATTGACCATATTAAGCGCTAACAATGCGAAAAAAATTGACAACCGGCAACGTCGGGCCCAGCCGCTTGCAGAGTGCGGCCGGAATCCTTCCGTCGGCAGCGCAGCGCGGTGTGAGATGAAGAATTTGGTGCGGCGTTGCCGGCTGTATACACTCCTTGAAGCTGTTGGCATATGCAAGGGCAATTTTTCGCCAATGGGCCGAGTTGCAATTTTTTGCCAGAGCAAAAATATGAGTGTTTCGTTACCTATAGAATATAACTCAAAAATCAAGATGAGCGCATCGGCAAAGTCTCACATGCACTCTTAACTTCACAATCTGCCTAAGAAAGAGCCTCGCCAAGTTTAGCCCCTTTTTTTGTATACCCGATTTGATCAACCGGACAGTGCTTAAAAGAAAGCCTATGGTAAGGCAAACTTCCTGGAAAAGTTTCAACTTGAAGTGAAACCTCGTTTAGGCACCATGGTGATCCAGAATTCCTCAATTTTTGCACATAAACATGGAAAATTGGCGACGCTGTAGAGCCTAAACGAGGTTTCACTTCAAGTTGAAACTTTTCCAGGAAGTTTGCCTTATCATCAGCTTTTGTTTGAGCCTTGTCCTGTTGACCAACTCGGGTGTACTAGTCTGTTGAACCATGATGATCCAGTATTCCTTGAGTATAGCGCATAAAAATGGAACATTGACAACGCTGTACAGCCTAAACGAGGTTTCACTTCAAGTTGAAAATTTTCCTGGTAGTTTGCCTTACCATAAGCTTTCGTTTGAGCCTTGTCCCGTTGACCAACTCGGGTGTACCAGCCTGTTGAACCATGATCATCCAGTATTCCTTGAGTATAGCGCATAAAAATGGAAAATTGGCAACGCTGTACAGCCTGAACGAGGGGTCACTTCAAGTTGAAACTTTGCATGAAAGTTTGCCTTACCATAGGCTTTCATTTGAGCACTGTTCGGTTGATCAACTCGGGTATACAAAAAGGGGCTAAAAACACCACTTTTTGGCGAGGCTCTTTGCGTTTTTTGAGCTTCCCGCTTCAAAATCGATACTACGGCGCAGGTGAACATTTCGTTAGAGGAGTTGTCCATCTAACTCCTGCTCAATAGGATGCTACTCAAAATTCAACATGGTCGACGCCAATCCGCCAAAACACGTGTGACGAGACGAGATTCTAACCATTTAATAACAATCGGCGTGTTTACATTCATATTTTCCTCGCATTGAGACTGTTCAGAGATATCCGCCCTGAGTGACCTTGTGCTTCTCCCGACTTACGCGCGAAAGCGTCGGCCATGATGAATATTCCGAAACATCCTTTTGAGCCGGAGTTAATTTGGACTTTTAAAGAGATTACACCTCTTGGAGCAACCATTTTCGAAAATCGATTTTTTTTTTTAAAAAAACAACCTAGGTTTTCCTGTCAGATATCTTTAAACTGTTCATTCGCTACATTTCTTATATGGTTTTACTTTGCAGGCAGCAGAATGGGGTGAATACCTTCCAGAGCGACGAACACCTTCCCCATCTTTGATAGAGCAGCAGCATTATGCTTCTCAAGAACTCTTCCTACCTGATCTCTCCATGATTCATGGCCGAATGATGTTGGTCGCATGGGAGTTGGGTTTAGATGGGGCCGAGTCATCAGCAGCTGAAGTCTTGGTCACCGCAACACAAGTAAGTTGTCCTTATCTGCCCAATTTGTCTTCTCGTCAGGTTACCAAGTTATTTGGATATCACCAGAGAATATTTTAAATATAAGTACCTGTTGCAATCTAGGAGAAATGGGGAAGGATTGATTTTTCTGATGATAGCTATTGTCCCATCAAGAACATTTCCTAACAAGGTTAGGTTACATTTTGTTCCCCCTAGTTTTGATCGGAATGTGGTCACAAGTTTCTTTATGTGAAGCTTCTGGACTCCTATTTGAGTTTCCAATTGAAGTCATGCCAAAGGGCTTTGGAAATTCCAAATATTTTTTTTCAAAATATCAGCAAAGGAGGTTGCTCACTGAAGTAATACAGGAACTTTTAGTTACATTCTGATGAATTCTAGATGGAACACAAGGTGGCCTCCCCTTTTAAGTATGATTAGCTGTTCAAGAGCCCAGCATCGTCTCTGTGATTTAAAGTTGCATCAAAAACCAACATTTTTGAGTGGCAGGGGTTAGAATAATGCTTTTCTTTGTTCGAATATTAAAACCATCTAGTGAGCTGAGAACGAAAATATCATTGGTTTTTAAATCAGATAGGCACTAAAATAGTCATCATAAATAATGCGGATAGATCGAAATACACGGGTTCAAACGGGAAATGCCACCGAATGATGTCACAAGGCAATCCGTTTCCGTGCCTTTAAAAGAACTTTTCTTCGATCTATCATATTGAAGAAAAGTTATGTAGAAGGACCCCGCACACTCCTTATGAGGATGTGTACCACGATCGATTTTTAATTTGTTTATTGTTTTGAATTTGTCTAAGGGTGCAGATCAAAAGTCATAATTGCGTCAACTTTCTACGAGCCTCCGTTTTGGCGCACACGTATATGCGATTGACATCACGGTAATTTCCAGGACACGTCGGCTAAAATCAAAGCGCAGTGCGTATCTGTTTTGTAAGGACAATAGAAAGGGATAAAGGAAAAAACTTATTTGGACGATGAAAAGAAAAGGCGTGTGGAATCCGAGATGAGACCGTTGCTCGGCTGCTGATCGGTTTTCCTGTTTACGTGATTTACACTCACCGGACCGACCCAAACCATACTCGAGTACTCGTAACCTTCATTTTTGTAAGGAATTATCAAAACTCTTTTCGGCGGGTTGTGCGGAAACGGTGGCTCATAGAAAGTTTGCGCAGATCGTAGAGAGCAAATCACGTTTTGCTCGCATTTCGAGTTCTGACAAAGACACAGAGACCACTGTTCTTTGGTGACCTGGAAACTCTCTTCGTCTCTTTCTTTGTTTATCCTTATTTTACGCACTTACAATATAGTTTTTCTTCCTCTGATTCCAGTATTTCTTGAAAAATTTACTCACTGCAGTTCTCTGTGGGCGAAAAGGATTCAAAGTACGAGAGAATCGTTTTATCTACAGTATTGGCACTCCCATGCCCAATCCCATTTTGCGTAATTATCCAGACTTGACTAAAGATTTGTAAGTTAATTCTCTCTCTAGCTCAAAAAAATGTATTTTCCTGTGTATTTACTGGTGCTCAGAAAGATGGACGGCGAAAGGACCCCACTCATGTGATCATGTGATTTATGCCCATATGGATCACCAATTTTTTTCTTTGAATTGTTTTTATCTATTGACCCTGATGAACAGTCACATTTGCATTGAAGTTCTAAGAGCTACCATTTTTGCGCAGCTCCTGACTTAAGGCATGATCTTTTGTCCGGCAAATGAAACCTCCGCTGCATAACTAAGGCATAAATCTGTCAAAAGCGAGACTGTGTAGTGCATGGAAAAACAGGGCTCAAAGAGTCAAAACAGTCCTATTGGTCAGTTGCCACTACTGCTTCAGTCTAGTCTCTCAGGAGAATTTCACTATGTGTCACACCTTGATTTTGATAGGAGTACGACCGGATATTTTTTCAAACAAAACTTTGGGACCTTTATTTTGCTGTTTTTGTCTATGTGCCCTGGAAGAAAGAAAAAATCGAGTTTGCAAAGAGGGTCACTTGCGGAAGTGTCGGAATAACACTCCTTGAACCACAGAGCTGTGATCATCATTATTACTCTATATAAAGCTGCTGTTCCCACTCACTCTGCCCCCCCTAGAGAAAAATTGACCGAAGCGATTTCCTTTAAAATTGGTACACTCTTAGCTATTGTAATGAGGAGTTGATTAAAATTATTCCCATTCAAATCCGCTGCCTCGGATGCCCGCAAGAGCGAAAAGTTATTTCTCCATATAGTATTACATTGGAGATACGCGGTTGTTTACGCGCATCGCGCCGAACAGGTTCAATCCTGTTGCGTGACGTCACTGCCTTATAGACGAAATTTAAGGTTTTAGGAGGTATTTTTCGACGAATGTTTGTGGAAATTGGTAAGCGGGGGTATTTTTCTCGGGGGATCTCGAATTTTTGGTCGGATTTTCAAAATCTCAAAATCCAAGATGGCGGCCGTGGCCTAAAATACTAAGTCGGCTCCTGTTTGATTGATTTTCGTGAAACTCGGTATCCAGGGGTATTTTTCGACGAGAAACTCGAATTTTTGGTCAGATTTTCAAAATTTCAAAATCCAAGATGGCGGCCGTGGCCGAAAATGCTCAGTCGGCTCCTGTTATATCGATTTTCGTGAAACTCGGTAACCAGGGGTATTTTTCGACGAGAAACTCGAATTTTCGGTCAGATTTTCAAAATTTTCAAATCCAAAAGATGGCGGCCGTGGCCTAAAATGCTACGTCGGCTCCTGTTCTATCGATTTTCGTGAAACTCGGTATCCTCGGGTATTTTTCGACGAGAAACTCGAATTTTTGGTCAGATTTTCAAAATTTCCAAATCCAAGATGGCGGCCATGGCCTAAAATGCTAAGTCGGCTCCTGTTTGATCGATTTTTGTGAAACTCGGAGATCCAGGGTACTTTTCGACGGGGAACTCGAATTTTTGGTTAGATTTTCAAAATTTCAAAATCCAAGATGGCGGCCGTGGCCTAAAATGCTATATCGCTTCCGGATATCGATCGATTTTTGTGAAATTCGGTATTAGGGGGT